TACACTACTTTGCCTCACTGCTATTACCTAGTTTGTTTCTATTTGTTAACACTTTCTGATATCAATGGCTTTACAAATAATGTAGGTTTACTGATTTTACGCTTCCGAGAACTTGAACATTTTTGTAGTCCGATGTTGTCAAAATTGCCCGTATAAACATTTTTTCAGTAAATGATATGATAGCAAGTTTTTGTGTTATTATCACACCAAATCGTAGCTTCCTGGCATAGCATAAAGAATAGCATCAATAAATAGAGAAGCTTGGCTATTTAATAAACTGGTTTATTAACATATTCAAATGTATGGAGTTTTCTTTCCTGGGGACCTAGTGACAAGTTATTCCGTTAACCTGTTATTAATGAATGAACTACTATCCTCGTAGTGCTATCTGCATATATTGCAAGTTGTTATGTCGGGCAAGATGTAAGGTTGTCAAGATCAACCTTTAATTAGAGAGTGTGTATACAATTTAAGTATGTTAGTAAACCGGTTTATTATGTTATAGCTAGAAGGAGTTATAACTCTCCCCCCCCCCCCCCCCCCCCCTCTCGCTCTCTCTCTCTCTCTCTCTCTGCCATTCGATTTTTTTTTTTTTTTTTTTTTTTTTTTTGGGGGGGGGGGGTTACCGATCCGACTGGGTGAATGAAATTCGAAAGTCTCTCCCTCTGTCTCTGTCTGTCTGTCTCTGTCTCTGTCTCTCTCTCTCTCTCTCTCTGTCGTTCTGTTTGGAAGGGGGCATGTGACCCTTAATAGCCTACTTAGCGTATATAATATGAGCAAAGCACTCCAATTATGCCCTCTGTCGCTTCACAATGTAAAGGTAGCGAGTTCGATTCCCAGCTACTCCTTTATCCCCTTTGTTACATTTTTAGGCCAACCCCCCCCCCCCCCAAAAAAAAACAAAAAAACAAAAAAACAAAAAAAAACAAAAAACAAAAAAAACAAAACAAAACAACAACAACAACAACATAAAAACAAAACAACAACAACGCCAACATAAAAACAACAACAACAGCAAGGAAAAAACGCACAACAAAAATCGCTTTATTCCTCACAGAACTTCTGAAAGAGTAATTCTCTTCCAAAAAGGAGACAAAGGAAAAAAAAAGGGGGGCATATTTTTTTAATTTGCCAACAGCAAATAATTTGTTTGAAGTTGGTAACTATTTTTTTAATTGGGGATCTTCCTTTAGCAACGCCCCTCGCTGAATACAAACCATATTTCCAGGAGTTACACTTCCAGAAGCTCACACAACCATGATGACAGTCATATTTATCATTCGTAATGTCACCGTGTAACGAAGGATACTTGGGGCGAGACGAGATACATGGACAGCAGGTCAAATGACGTACAGCGTCGAAAAGTGCATCTGATCAAGTGGGCGATCTGTCTGGTCGAACTACAAAATATTCTATATTTTAATAAATGTTCACACAGATTAATATATGTTGTTTGACATTATAATATGTGTTGTTTCTAAATGATTCAAGGATCATATAACCAACAACATAAACGTTGATAATTATGCAGGTGTCTTTCTTCTCACTGCACTTGTACATCAGAATGCGCGTTGGGAATACAAGATGAATCACAAAATTTCATAACCAAATTTAATTTCCTGAGGGAGTTTAGCTTCCGAAATATTCACAAATGGGGGTAATAGAAGTATGACAAGGATCAGGGGAAGAATTTTGTCAAAAAAGGGGGTGGGAGAGCAGGGCATATTAGTGTTCCCGGTGCTGAACATGATTCTTTTTTTTAAATCTCCAGCTCTCCCAGACACGTTCGGTGGGGAGGATAAGGGAAAATTCCCGACATGATTTTCAGTTTCATTGTTTATTGCTTCTTTCTTCTTTTTTTTTCTTTTCTTTTTTTTTTTTTTTTTTTTTGGGGGGGGGGGGAGGGGACGGGATCTTCTTAACATGTTTTCCTTCAATTGAGAGCGTTACAACCTTCTCCCCCCCCCCTCCCCTCCCCCTTTCCGGGATCTTCTTTCTTCCCCTTAACATTTTTTCCTTCAATTGAGAGCGTTACAACCTTCTCCCCCCCCCCCCCTCTCCCCCTTTCCGGGATCCGCTTATGAAAATGTTATGTATGTCGTTGGGCGTAAATAATAATTACTACGACAGCTCTCTTGTTTCTGCCAGTTCTAATAAATCTTGTTTTGTACCAATGTTGTGTTAAATGACGTCTCGCATACTATGGACGTGACGAGACTATTTACTTGGTATGTTCAGTAAGGTCATGACATTTAGTTTCTGAATAAGATGTCAACCGGTTACATTACAGTGATCATCAAGGTGTAGACATATTGTTTATTAGGCCTTGATATCAAGATCGTCACATAATATCCCAAACCAGAGTTCACCAGGGTTGCCTGGTTCACATTTGATTCACTTGCGGTCGATGATTTTAATATGTACTCATGTAACAGAATCATGTTTTATTGTTTCCCTTTAAAGATTTGACCTTTTCTTCTTTGTAATGATTTGTTTTACTTTGATTTCCTTATCAATATTATACCCATGATTGTATATCGCGTACAAAAGCGTTCGGATTATGTAAAAGTCATTGCAATGTTCTCACATTTAAGCGATGGAAAACAGTTTCGACATAAAGTAATCAGGTTTGCAACTGACATAAGTCCGGTAGAATGGTGGTGGAAAATTTCAAAATGATCAAGTATTCGAGTTATAAACAAAGTATATTAAGGAGGCTTACAGAGAAGATAAAAATAAGATAGTTAGGATTAGGGTAGAACATGCTTGAGATGATAGTCCCCGTCATCGTTGTTGCTATGGTTACGTTCTTATTTACTCAGCTGAATATAGAATCCGACTAGACAGTGGATCATGTTTACATTTCACGATCCACTTTCTCCTTCTCTCACTTCTTCTCATTCCTTACCTCTCTTTACCTTTTGAATCTCGCTTTCTTCCCCTATATCTTAACACACATACAAATCATGGACCTATTTGGGTCCATGCACAAACACACACACACTCTCTCTCTCTCTCTCTCTCTCTCTCTCGCCCACTAACTCTACCTATTCTATACATTTTTATAAACTCTATTCAGCCTCAGGCTCCTTATTATCTCTCTCCCCCCCCCCTCTCTCTCTCTCTCTTCCTCTCTCTTCTCCTCCTCTTTCTATATTTCTCTCCTCCTTCTCTCTCTCTCTCTCTCTCTCTCTCTCTCCCTCCCTCTCTCTCTTTCTCTCTCTCTTTGGAGTGTCGATTGGAACATCATTAAATGCTATTCTGTTGTTCATTGTATAAGAAGATTTTTGAAGGGCCAATCTTCGTGTCAGCTGCCACTCACAATCTGCTTCAGCATTATTTTAATGTATATTGTCGTCTATACTTCATACTCGACTAGGATTGATTACATCCCAACATAGTGTAGATCCGGTATTGCAGGAACTGCAGGAAGTAAAGCGTAAACAACGTCATCATTTATGCATATACCACTTGAAAACTTATTGATGGAACTATATCACTTTTAAAACAAAATATGTTTGAACAAATGGGTGTTTAATAATTATTGTACAGGGTGAGCGATCGGATATACGCGATAAATCGTTATTGGTGTTCAAAATAATGTATCATAATTTTCTTTGTATAAGGAACTACCTTCCTATACCTACCATCAATATTGTTTCTCTTGATAAAACGAAATAATGTATTTTTCCGTCCTCGGAGTGAAATTGCAAAAGGTCCCCTACCCCCTCCCAACACACATAGGAAATGATTTCGTGTGATAACACTTAATAATGTGCAAAAGATGCCCCATGTTCATGAACACCGTTGGTCGTCTACATGACTGTACTATGTGAAGTACATGACGGACAACGTGTTATATTGGTCATCCATTGCCACTTAAAGTCCTTGAACATTTTCAAAATGGTCGGTGAAACGAATGTTGAAAATCAATAATTCTTTCAAACCTTTAATCCACGTTCTTTATTGATACCACATAAGCATTACATAATACCATTGATCATTGATCGGGTGTAGGGGAGCGATTAGGAGAGAAGCGTTGGTTGGGGTGGGGTTCTCAGCTATAGTGAGCAAAATAATGAAAGAGATAGACGATTAAATAAATAGAGAAGGGGATAAGAGAGAGAGAGAGAGAGAGAGAGAGAGAGAGAGAGAGAGAGAGAGAGATATTACAAGGGTTCTAACTCTAGTATACCCGCACTGGCCACTGTACACATTGGTCACTGCATGACATCGGTCTATTAAAGGTCTGTGGATAAGCAGATAACAGTTTTATATTTACACATACTCAGCCGTTAGGAGGAATAAAAACATGCAGAATGTGTGAGAAACCTATACCATCAGCAATAGACGTAGATAAGTATACAATAAACAAAAATCAACACACATGCTCTTTACCATGGACCTACTCTTTAAGGTCCATGAGAACTCTCATCTCCCTGGTTCAATCTATAGTGACCCGTCTGTACAAAGTTGATAGACCGGTCATGGATATATTTCGAAGCAGATTAATTGGTTATAAGAGAGAGAGAGAGAGAGAGAGAGAGAGAGAGAGAGAGAGAGAGAGAGAGCTATTGTATCTCACATCAAACAATTAAGGAAATGACATAGCTTATCTCTACCAGACTTTTTTTCACAGTCGAATGTTGCAAACTCACTGTCCTTCCTATTTAGATGACGTGATTTTGATCATTAAAAACACATCGATACCACTTTCATGGAAAAACAACACCACGACACTTAAGTTTTACTATATACTGCTGGTTTCTGTAGTCGCCCACACTCTCAGAAGTAGCATACTTGCTTGGCTTGTCTCTCCTATTCGTATCATAATCAGTGCATTCTTATCTGAATAAACAATTACATTTATCTGTAATGACTTTGTTGGATAGAAGCCTATAATAAAGACATTCCGTTGATGTGGAACGATCTTATTGTCTAAGCCTCCAATCCGGTTCTAGATCTATTCACTATTTTTGCAGTTTGCCTGTGGCGTGGCGCTACGTATAGATAGATACCAGTTCATATCACGCCGTTCTGTGCATGACTGTGTGAGTGTGTGTTCGACGCTGTGTGTCTTATGCATGGAAAATACCACCACAACTCTATTCTGTGTGCATAGCTTTTTGTGTGTGCTTCGCTTTATCTTCCATCTATCTCCTGCAAGAGGCGTGGTATATTAAATAACCGGCGTTTATTCTGAACATCAACGCATTTCGTTTGGTAAGTCTTCACTTACTTTCCTTATCTTTCAACATCATACGCTAACCCAGAACATAAACCATATTTGAATATTATGTTTCTGATGTATAATTATAGTCGGTAGACAGGTTTATAGTTATTAAAACATCAGTTTGATTGACGAATTTCTGCAGAGGCATATGTACACGTGCTTTTTGCGTGCGAAACCATAGAGTTATATTCATCAATCTTGTTTTATATGTCGGAGGCGCCCTGCTTTTTTCCCGCGTGCTATATTGGTATTGGTATCTTAATGGATATTACATACCAGTTAACCTTCCTGTACTTAGATACGTGTGGTTTACATATATCACTTTTTCCTTCGCTTTCTGTTGGTATTGCTCCGTCTGCTCTTTACTATTACAAGAGATTTGTTTGATTTTGAAGAAGAAAGAAATGTATATTATACCTCATAATTCTTCCGACATCTCGAGCTATCTGACTTATTAAAAATGTGTTAATTTATAAATACTTTGCGTGCCCTATACTACAGTATAGCCCTGTTAAACTCACAAGAGTGCTTCATGTACTAGCTTAGAATTCTATACATGTCACTTCTAAAGAATTTTTTTTTTTTTAACTGCATACAATGTATTTTTAAAAGAACCAACCTTGTATGGACTATTCAAGCGTATATGCTATAGCCTGATGCTCCACGGACTTCTCTGATTTTCTTTTTAAAAGGCCTTCAAGCACTGTTTCGTTGAAATGTCATTGCGTAAAATGCGACCTTCTTTCCGGTACCAAGGAAAGGGAAATAGTGACCATTTAAAACAGGATCAACGATTCTGCAAATGATTGTAACATACATGCATCCTATATCTTTGTTTGTGTGTTAATTGTGTGCATGAACATATACCCTATCTTGTAGTAGGTCCATGGTTAAAGTATATCATCGCTGTAAAAAAACATTGGTGTGATCATTGGGTCGTACGTTTATATATTTTTTTACAAATCATGCATGATCATAATTATTACTGATCAAAGTACATTGCTCTTTCTCTCTCTCTCTCTCTCTCTGCGTGTATTCTCGCTTTGTCCCTCTCATCCGTCTGAATTTCTGCCTATATATTTCTATCTGTTAATCTATTGTCTTGCAGTAAATCTCCTCTCTATTTCTCATACTCTCTCCGTCCCTCTTTCTCTCTCTCTCTCTCTCTCTCTCTCTCTTTCTCTCTCTCTCTCTCTCTCTCTCTCTCTCTCTAACTTGTTATCATGTTTTTTTTAATCTGTGTGTCGCTTTGTCCACTTTTTAAAACATTCCTTGCAATATTTATAATAATCTTTTATCACATCGATCCCATTATACTATATGGTTATTTTCGTATTATTAATAATAATACGAAAATTCTTGACATTGTCATACTCTAAAGCAGATGACGAATTTTAATTTTCACATGTAAGTTTTTAGACGTTTGAGGAGCCTGTCTAGATGGCATATTATTTGTCATTTGTTCTTTATTGTGTGACAATTTTTTCCATTTCATTTTTGATAGTTTTCAAGCTTTTACATTTCCGAAACATTATCCATTAGATCTGAGTTTGACTAATAAAATTGTAACTTAACCGCTTCTCACAAGGGACAGGAAAATAAATCTATGTAACGAATTCGAATTATATACAAGGCTACCGAGTCTGTATAGCGGCAAACAAATTCTGTGTGTACGTAAACTGCATGTAAATCAGAGATAAGGAAATTGCTTTTATCAAATCAAACCTTTTCCTGAGCAGAATAGAAATGTCCAAATGTCCAAATACAGAAAGTTTAAGGATATGTTATTTTCTCGGAATAGTTTACTTATGACATCTTGATCTTATTGTTTTTGTCACTAAAACACTTCGTAACACATCCTTACAACAATATTGTCGGAAATGGCCTTCAACCTTTTTAGAAAATTATAAGATCTGCTAAGGACAAGGTATATTTTTAGAAATGAGAACGTACAAACCTTAAATGATCCTCGAATTTTGTTTTCAGGCTCCAATAAAAAAAAAATACATATCTTTACCTTTCCCGCAAATGCTGGAAGAATGCTGAGACAGCAGTCGATCTTCCAGGTCTATGGTTTAATTATTCTCATTATATATACACAAGTCGGGTAGGCAGAGGGGCAAGAGGTAGCATCTTAACTGCACATCTCCCAGGAGTAAATAAAGTAAAGTAAATAATACGAGTATTGAGAGACATAGCACTGTTCCCTTCCAGCATTATGTTCCTAATAAAATATCTGTCAAACCTGTGTAACAAAAATACTTTAAGATCGAGAACCACACTCTTTTCAGTTCACATCACTGTGACCATGCATTACAATAATATGCTAGATCGTTTGCATGGATGAGTCATTTCTATAGTTAGCACCATGCAGGCACTCAATGCTTTACTACTGGACATTACACATGGTGAGGTCTTTCATTGCTCGCACCTCGAACAATAATCATGCATTCATTCGAGGTACTGTAATCGCGATGACTCAAAATAATCATATATAGGGCTTTCTAGTTTATAGTCACTGTCAGGCTCTACGCTACACAGGATCGAACCCAGTTGCATTACCAGTTATTCATACCAGCAGGGGAAAACCCCATGGATCAGAGATAGCCTCCTCCCCCCCCCCCGAGGGGAGGGGGGGGGGGGACTGGGGAGGGGGGGGGGCTAACTCCCAACATGACTGGCTACGCACCCGCGTCCAGAAAAAGCGTCGAATTCAGCTATACGACGTCGTCGATGTTTTCCTTCAAAAGGGGTGGGTTTTTTAAAAGTGTGTTTTCAAGCATTGATCGCACAAAATGAAAAAAGGCTACCTTTTCAGGGTCCATTTCAGAAAAGGTGCGATTCGCCATTAGGGTCCATTTCGGAAAATGTGCGATATATACGCCATTAGGGTCATTTCAGAAAAGGTGCGATTCGCCATTAGGGTCCATTTCGGAAAATGTGCGATACATACGCCATTAGGGTCATTTCAGAAAAGGTGCGATACGTTTTTAGGGTTCATTTCAGATAGGTGCAATACGCCATTAGGGTCCATTTCAGAGGTTGATGAACACGGGTGGGTAGCACTTGTGTATATGAGAGTGACCTCCCACCCCCGCGTAGGGGGCATAATGTATCTGTCCCCCGCAAAATATTCAGAATAGGGCACACATGGCTCATAACATAGGGTCGAAACTATAGTGCCGTATCTAGGAATTGAGGGGCAGAACCCTCCCAGGTCGTGAGATTGAGAGGGAAATAAAGCACTTGGTCCATGCCGCAAAATAGTCAGAATATTCTACTCGCACAAACCATTGTACATGCATAACAGAGAGTCGAAACAAGTGGCGTATCCATAAATTAATATAAAAAGGGGCAGCATACCCTCCTATGACCATAATGATCGGAGATGACCGGCGCAAGACAGATTTTTTTTTTGGTGGAGATATCACTACAGTCTGTGCTTGTAGACTAAGGACATCGAAAGAGCTCTCTATTCTCCATTCAATCCGTGCCAAGACTGTCATTGCACATAATCAATTCTATATTCTGTAGTAAGTGCTGTCCACGCATATACGTATTGATCCAATATATTACAGACGTTATGCAATGTTACAGACGTTATGCAATGTAAACTGCATACTAATTTGAGGATATAAAAGATGTGTCTACATCAGCAATCTTTGGATGTGAAATTATTCAAGTTATAGAACTAATGATAATTATACTACTTTTGATTTGCAAAAACCTTAAAAATAAAAAAGTCTCAGAAACATTACCCTAAGTTTGAAACTACCTTTTTAGACGTTGTAAAATTATTATCAAACAGCAACGATTCTGTAATCAAGAGTGGAAAATACTAGATCAAATACCTAGATCGAGGGTATAATACGGAAATGATGCAGTTTTAAAGAGAACGGGTAACACAGTCATTAATTTTCTTAGTGTATATAATATACATGTACAATGTCAGCGGGAAAACGCTTTTTTCTATGATTTAACGTTTCCAAATATGATCAGGATGATAAGAATTAGACTTTTCTATGAAACCAAACATGGTGTGGTACATGATTTGATTTGATTCGAAATATATAATGAAATTAATTTTATAAAAAAGCAGTTATCTCTATAACGATCGGAGTATCACTAATTTTGACCAACTTAAGAGGGTACACCCAAACACCACTCCCTCCTGCCCTGCTAATACATTAATGAAAATGTTTATATCATGTATTGCAAGAAATGATACCAGTGTCCCCGCCTGTAATGTTTAAAGGTGTCTTAAATGCTGTTGATAATTTTGCCGATTTTGCACAACAGATTGTTCATTTGTTAGCCACTACATCGCATTTGCGATCTCCAAATTTTTTCACAAAAGAAAAACACGGAAAACTACAAAAAATCTACACAGTAGTCAAATATAAACTTAAATAACCCTATTTTTAATGTATGATTATAATCTGTCATTTTCAACAAGATATTGTGTTCCTTTAATGAGAATAACAAGGGCAAGGTTTTAGGACCTTCGGTCTATGTCAAGTTCAAAAAGTTGAAAACTTGGACCTCGGTCCGACTTTCTTTGTTAAATTTGGCTTCAGCGAGTTAAAAGCCATCTCTGGGTTTAGAGTTTTAATATGAGACGGGCCAAAGATTTACAAAAAGTTCCCAAATTAATAATTTTGATAAAGAATTGTTGGTTAAAGATGCCGTACAGGGGTTCCAATTACTTGTAATAGCCTTGGTCATAACTGCCTCGAAACGGAACGGTGTGAACCAATTTAATCCCAAAACGTGTCTTACATGTTTAATGTGGTTCAAGTGATAAATCTCAGTGACTCTCTCGTAATCAAACTTACAATCAGACGGGCAATTTACATCTCAGCGGAGGAAAAGAGATATCTACACCACAAACAGTGGTGTAGCTACAGTGCCCCCATCCCTAACCCCCTCTACAATCCAACGAGTGATGAAATATTAAAAAAACGGAAAGATAAAGGCGAAATTGGCAATACAGGGAGACGCATAAACCACCTCACGAACGCATCCCCCATAATCAGTACCCTTGAAAATTTGAGCTTTATTTTCAAAATAGGACCGTTGCCCCTGCCCCCCCCCCTCCCCCTCCCCCGTCGTTCTAGTGACCCCTCAATGGTTGTACTCACGCAGAAGACGGTTTAAGTGTTCACGTTAGTCAACGTAAGTGTACAAACCAGTGACATCTAAGCAACTATAATTTGATAGTAATTCATATCGCAAATACCTGTACATGTATTTCCACGCACGTTAGGGATTAGCTAATTGACATTTCTTTTCAATACTGCGTCGGTACTCCTGGATAAAAAAAGGAAAACATATTTTTTAACAGTCAACACTCTGAGAAAGATAGACACAGATCAGAGGGAGAGAGAGAAGTGGGAGTGGGTGGTAAAAGAAAGAAAACATGCAAAGGGCAGAAAAGAATGGATGTCTGAAAGAAATGAAATTGCAAAGGAAGAAAAACAATTGTAGTCATTTTAATCATGTATGTAATCAATTATTAATATTTACACAAATTATTTTTTCGTTGATATACCATCCTTCTCTTTAAAAACGACAACAGGGGTTTGGTTAATTGCTATTTTTTGTGTTTTTTCTGGATAGAAAATAACTTCAAATCCGGTACATTCATGGAATGAGTAAAACATAATGCACGATATCATGCGACTACATGACTACATAGAAGCGCTATCTAATTAACATGATTGCAGCACTGGTATAACCTTGGTGTTCATGATTAGGATAATGATAATATTATTATATATCTCTTTTCTCTTTCCACTATAGCATCTGGTAGCAGTCCGATCGCTTCAATGAAGATGACGTCACAATTGGTCACGCTAGTGCTAGCAGTATTCGTCTGCTCAGCAGCAGTCGTATACTCACAAAGTCCATGTAAGTGCATTTTTGCTGGAAAAATGAATTTATACAATTATTGTAGGCATATAGAGTATAACGAAATAAAACGAGGTTACCATGAACACCATAAAGATTTCATGTTATTGCAAATGTCACAATTTGATAATAGGATGAAAAAAATTGAGAATTTAGAAGGAAATATTTGTCATATGTGCAAACAACTTGACTTAGAAAGAGAGAGGGGGTAGGGGGAGTTGGCCTACATGGTAAAATGTAATTTGTTACATTTTTCCTTGTTTAGGTTCGTTGCCAAGTCTATTTCTCTTAATTCCGCCTTATCATAGCGAGTGAAATCTTGCAGTTTCAGTTCCATCGCATGCTGATGTTGCACAAAAATTGCAACAGATATAAACATTCTATATTGCCATGTCACTACACGTTTAGATATGCACTGTTAGCATATTTCAGAATCAGGAATTGGTGGGCGTACACGACAGATAATATCTAGATTTGGCCTTTGAATATGGAAAATGTATTTGTTTATGAATAGGAAGCCTGTTTACCCTTTCATCTACATTACAACGGCCATTGTGCTTCGCGTTATGGTTATGCACAAACAAAACGAAAATGAGGTCAAGCGTGATACCGCTATGAAGGGTATGGAGAAAAACAGTGTTATTTTCTTTGAGGTAGCTTCAGACGAGCGATTAATCAAGGAACATGTCGTAATTTAACCTCATGTGCCCGGGCATGCCCTGTCACTGAACTTCATGACAGGTGAAATAAAATAACGTAATAAGTCTACATGTCGAGATTGAGCGATTCCTTACCGTCATCATGGGAAAATAGTCTACAAAAATGATTGACATGCAGAAGTTTAACTTACTATTGTTGACTTTTTGCAAATTGATTCAAATATTTCTACTGTTCGCAAAGCTCTATGGTGAATGTAACTATTTGGTTTGATGGAGACCAATATACATTTCTATGAATGCAATGCATGTTTCTGATGTTTAAGTAGTGAATCCACGCTTATAAAAAGCTTAGTACATACAGAGGTCAAAGGTGAATGAGGTAGATTACCTTCATTTTCAGATGTTTGAATACACGTAGAACTCGACCAAATAAAACGTAGCTGATGTAGAAGGCCTGTATATCCAAGAAAAGGCATCTTTTTAATATCATCCAACGGTACCGATACACGATATTGTGTTTCAGTTTGTATGCTTCACATCACATTTTCACAAAAGAATAAATTGTAGAATTGACAGATTATTGCTTTTCATGTTGATACATTAAATGGTAAGGAATACCTTGGAATGGGGTTTATTTCTGACATAATGTCTGGCAAGGAAGAAAAATAAGCTCTTATTTTGTTCAGATTTTGTTTACTTTTTAGAATTGTGTCTAGAACAGTCCCTGAACCTTTCTTCTGTGCCCCTTCTCCCGAAATTAATTCCTGTCCCCGAAATTAATTCCCGTCCGTTTTAAGCTTTAGGAGCATTAATATAATTTGACCAAAAACCTAGATAGCAAAATTTCCCAATATCCATAACTTTGCCTTAATGTGTACCTTTGATTTAATGTGTAACTTCGATAATAATGTATCGTCCACATGTTTAGTAATCACTGTAATAATAGAACTGCCATTATTTCCTCCTTCAGCTTCACCTCCTTCAGCTTCACCTCCCACCGTCCTTGCCACGGAGCCCATAACAACCCCCCGCCCAGCGGTAGCAACAACCCCTCCCCCTGTCGATAATGGCACACCAGCCCCATCCGCTAATGGCACTGACGCACCGACCCCAGTCGTGACTGACGCACCGATGACTAGCGCTAAGGACGACGATGACGATGGTATGAAAGGCGATGGCGATGGTCAAAAAGGACATGATGAGGAAAAGGAAGGCGGAGGTTTGTAATGAAACATAGATCTTTAGAAACTGTTAATAATATGTGAAAGTCTGAAATACAAGTTGTTGCCCATAAAAGTTTGATTGTTTTCATTCTAACCCCTAGCCTTTTCGTGTAAGGATTGTGACGTTATGCATCTTGAGAGATAAAGTTTATATCTTGTCAGAACTTAATCAATCAAACTCCTCTCACTTTATTCTTGATAGATAAAGTTCATAATTATGCATAGCACTTTATTGATCAATCTCTATGACTCTGAAGACCAATCAGTGAAGTACTGATAATTAATCAACTTTATCTGTCGAGGATAGAACATATCGTCACAATCACTTCAAGTAAGAGGTTAAGCAAACATTATCCCCATTTTATGTGCGTGTACAGTTAAAGTCGTTTTTAAGCTGTCGTAGCTATACAGAGTTGAACTAATACGATAATGACTTGTGTGAAGTCGTGGTGTCATATAAGACTACAAGCTTTGACCGTTATAGCATGTTCTAATTTTTTTGTTAAAGCATAGCGTTTGTCCAACATTTTTATGATTTCAAATAGCTCCATAATATATTCGCTATTGCATTATTAAAATAAGTGTGTATTGTCAGCCAGATTGACTTGTAACCTTCCTGGGCTTAATACCAACATTTTCTGTAATAATAATAATAATAATACATAACATTTATTAGGCGCTTAATACTGATGTTTCTAAGCGCACAGTGTTCTGATTAAGAGAAGACTATAACCCGTAGAATTAAATTAGAAGAAAAAGCAAAAATACAAAAGTAACATAGATAAGGTAAGAAAAACAGTGGCAATCAACTAAATAAAGACAAATATGGTGCGCACCTCCATTGACCGACGCACAACTGCAATTTACAATTTGAAAAGATAGGTTTTGAGTAGAGATTTGAATTGAGATACAGAGGGGGCGCAGTGAATAAAGGCGGGCAGTTTGTTCCAGAGAGCGGGGGCAATAACTGAAAAGGCGCGGTCACCATACCGGGTGTTAGTGCGGGGTCCAGGTGTTAACAGTAATGTGGAAGATGAACGAAGTGTTCGTGACGACGTACGGGAACGTAAGGATATGAGATCGGAAAGGTAAGAGGGGGCTAAGCCATTGATAGCTTTGTAGCACAGGAGAAGAATTTTGAAGGATATGCGGTGGTGAATTTTAAGCCAATGTAGTGAGTTCAATATTGGAGTTATGTGCTCTGATTTACGCGAGAGAGTCACAAGCCGAGCAGCGCTATTCTGTACCCTTTGAAGTGGGACTAGATGTGACTGAGGGAGGCCAGAAAGAGAAGAATTACAGTAATCGATATGGGTCGAGACAAAAGCATGGACTAATTTTGAAGTTGTGGGTCGGTCAAGTAGCCTCCTGATTCTACTGATCTTATATATACCAAAGGAAGCAGACTTACAAATATTACTAATGTGTTGTTTGAAAGTAAGATTGCTGTCAATATTTAAACCAAGGTCACGCACAGAAGCACAACAACTGAGAGAGCCATCACTCATAACAAGATCAGGAAAGGGGTCTGAGTTCCGAAATTTAGAAGTAATATGAATCATTTCAGATTTTGAATCATTAAGGCAGAGACAGTTTTGAAAAGACCAGGTTTTGATTTCATTGAGGCAACTGGTGAGTTTGTTCGCGGCTACTGTCCTGCTGTTTGGGTGAAGAGTTACATAAATCTGGGTGTCGTCTGCATACATAGTGTGTTGAATGTTCTGATGAAGGTTAATAACATTTGAGAGAGGGCTGGTGTAAAGAATAAACAGGAGGGGGCCGACCACGGAACCCTGAGGAACGCCGCAGATGAGGGGAAATGATTTCGAGTTGGTGTCATTGATGATCACCTTCTGAGTTCGGTGCATGAGATAGGAGCGAATCCATTGAAGTACGGTGCCGGTGATGGAGAAGTCGTTCTCTAAGCGATGGAGTAACAGGTCGTGGTTGATAGTGTCAAATGCGGCAGTGTAATCAAGCAAGATGAGGACAGCTTCATTACCCTTATCTACAGCTAGAAGTAGGTCATTTAGGACCTTGACAGTTGCAGTCTCAGTAGAATGATGATTCCGATAGGCAGATTGGTGGATTGGAAACAAACCGAGATTGTCAATGTGGGCTTTCAGCTGTAGGAATCGGATCTAGCTTACAGTGTTTAGAAGGAAGTGAAGTGATGAGCTTCCTGACTTGTGAGAGGGATACAAGGCAGAAATCAGAGAGTTCATGACGAGGGCCTGGAGTAATACATATCCGATCATAAGGCTCTCGGTATATGATAGATCATTGTACATCTGCACAAACCAATTTTAAGTGCAAATAGCCGTGCATTCAGTGTCCTATGTACTCTGTCTCAGTGTGCCCGTCTTTCTGCTTGTGACGGACTGACTTTATGTATGTACAGTGCAAATATTGATCTTTTCCTTTTTTTGTAATGTTTTTTATATTTCGTGTCTTTCTGCTTCAGGTGGACTGAGGAGAGGTGATATAGCTCTAGCGATCCTTGCAACTATTCTTGTTGTGGCAGTAATATGCACCTTTATAGGACTGTGTTACTGGAAGTACAAGGGGTGAGTATTCGATGTAGGAATATCCAGTTAGGCTCAAATATACATGTTATGGCGCTTATTGAAGAGTCCGAACCCTCGAAATAACCCAGATATTAGGATGCATTTCAAATAGTTTTGCCACCTTCAAAGTGCTTTATTGGATCTTAATTTCTTTCAAAAATTTACTTTGGAACCACTTGATATAGGAAATCACATTGTCTTGCGCATATAACAATGCCTAATGTTAAAAAAGTACCGTATTGATTAAAGATTGCGCACCTCAATAAAAGTGTAATTAAGAACATAAAATTCGGTATGAGTCAAAGTCTAAACTGTTTCTTAGGTAAGCCTACCTATATGCAATTAAAACCAACAGTGTAGCTATAAGATTTATATTCCGGAGGATTCATAATTCCAAAAGAGCAATATGTTCTTAGATCATCCGAATCATCATTACGAATCCTGCTCATTTCTGAAATCACATCCACTGTTCTATATTTAGAATTATAATTTACAAGTTTTAAGATTTAAAAAACCTTAGGGAAAGTGAGCTGTTACCGTCTAAAACCATATTTCGGAATGAACATATTCATTAATATTTGTTCCCCACTAACAAATTCACCCCATCACCATCAAGATGATTTATTGAGGTATCCTCCATTTTCCTTTTCTCTACGTTTTCACAGAAATTCATACGTCACAGTCACAGCAGATACAACCTACAGACAATAATTGTAATCCTGCCTGCAAGCATCTATACAATAACATTAATCAAACGGTATCATCTGTAGCAATAAGATCAATAATAATTATAGCAGACGGATAGACGTTAGGTCTATCTACTTTGTACAAAGTCGACGTCTTTCTGTTGTTCATTCAATACAAAGAACAAGAGAAGTTGCCTTGGTGACATGGGATATTCTCAAAGCTTTGAGGTGGGCAAGTTCTAGATGTTACCCCAATAAATATAAATATCTCGTTTAGTTTACCCGATGATTTTAATAGGTTGATGGCCTTATTCCTAGCGGGGGGCGTGGCCAAAGGGAGTGGCACCTTATTCGACATTCGTCGGTTCGCCATTTTCTAAGGCTGTTGGGAAATCTCAAAGAGATGTTGATGATTCCTTTGCTTAATTGCTCGTTGGTAAATTTCAGCTACCTCTTCGAAACCCTTCCCATTTAAAATAGTCTGGCGATGCCCCTAGTCAATATACACAAAATAATTAATAAAATACAGACTTCGGTATGTACTTTTGAATTTCATAATTCCTTCATATAGCCTGAGAAACACCTTTGATTTTCCCAGTTTTCGTAAAGATCGTGGAACATCCTTCTTTTGTTAGCGTTTGTTCCCGAATGAGTGCTTTTTCAGCTTCAGATATCAAATTTTAATGTAACTAAGCTGATAGTATGTAATACATATACAGTGTGTTCGAAAGGGCATTATGTATAATGTTGTCTGCTAGTTAGGTAATAATTTATGGAACGCTCAAAACATTGTTTGGAACTTAAGGCTGCGAGTCATTAGTGATACATCTTAGTGTTATAAACATTACATTGCCAATACGATTTTAGAGTGGTTGTTTGTTGTTACTGTACATACAATTTTTAGTACTAAACTTACGTTTTTATTGTATGGCAGATGTCACGATATGACTGTAAAAAAAATCCTTGTGATGTATTCCAAAGAGGCTCACTATACTTTTAGAAATTACATATTCTCAAAGGATTATCTTTCCATTGATACACGGTCACATTATAAGGGTGGTAGATTTTTATAGCCAGTTGTGTCAATTTGCACGTTCTGTACAAGAACAAAATACAAGAAGCAAATTATACATTACTCGTGTCTATGTTGGAATCATTGTATTGCTATGATGTATATAATATGGTGCTTTGATTTCAGGCATATATTGCACATTTCTCGTGTAATCATTGCTAAACACCATACGCCATGTCCCAGAAATTGATTTGTTTGTGCCTATAGAATCAATGCCTTCTTGCTTTACATTCTCGGCATCACCGACATGGATCTGGTACCAAAATATATTATTGAATGCAAAGTACGATTTAAGACCAATGAGATTGCAGGGATAAAACATCATACGTGAACGCATGATTCTGATTGGTTGATGTTATGTATACGTTACGACTAGACTATGAAGCGTGAAGTACATTCAGCCAATTCGGTGATATCAGGTCAGAGAAGTGCCATTCACTTTCACTGGTACAATGAAAGGGTGTGGCCAATTGCCACATTTTGCAGCGACGTCAGAATTTTGTAAATAGTTTCTGTACGGGAGAGAGAGAAAATGTGTTACGACATAATCATTAAAAGCTTTGTATAAACGCAGGCCAGTGAACTTCTTTCTCTCTCCCGAACTGAGAGCACATTCAAATTTTCTGTTGCTTGTATCATTATGAATGTTAGAATGAAAGTATGCTTACATGTAGTTTTTATATAAAGCTAGTTGCTTAATAAAATATGTTTTTGATATATTCACATTGGGTATTGTGGAAATGTAGAATTGGTAGATTATTGCTAGTTTGAGACGTATAGCACAGAGGAAAAACGGGGGCATTTGCCCCATCTTGAACGAAAAAAAGTAACACCCAGTTTATATGAGAAAACGTTTCCTATCCTCGACGCTACGCCACTGTTGGTCGTCATCAATTTCCTGAAAACGGATCATTCTTTTCAAATATATAGCTTCAATTAAACTTTCAATTTAGAAACGTCATCTTCACCTTTTTGTCAGGTAAAATCACGAACAAAAATATTAAGTATGTGTAATATTTAAAGGCTATATATGCATTGGAGTCAGAGTTTGAATATGTTTATGAGTTTGAATTTAAAATATAAACATTTATGCTCTCAGGTCTTCTAGCTAATATCTTTTACTTACTTTTTCCTGATGAAATAAAAGTTTTAATACTCCTGTACTTATTCATTATATTATGAGAATCATGACTGATGGATAAACGATGTAAATAATAGTTTTAATAGCTTATTATATGCTAATTGATGTTTATGCATTTTAGACTTCTTAATTCACAATTATATGTGTATATTCTGACTGTTCACACTTTGGTTAAGTAAATTAGTCTTTGAATATAATGATTCATGTATAATTAAATAATTTTGTCGCCTTTTGAAATCGCGTGCAGTTCATATGTAACACTTCACAGAGATGTTTATGTTGGACGAATCTCCGTGATATACTTTCCATTGTACATTGTTACGTCATAACTACATCCTATTTGGAGAGGAAATATACAACTGGCATAAATCTTTGTTAAGTGTCTCGTTATACAATTGTCATACACCTGTTACGAATAATTGTATTTCAATAGTCATAATGCGAATTGCATACATTAGTTGTTGCTAGGTAGGACAAACAAAATGGCTTGCCCTACCTAACAACATGGACTATATGCAATTTGCATACCGACTATTGAAATAGAATTATTTGTACCGGGTGAATGAAATTATTCGTATCAAAGCACCTCATAAAGACGTTTGTATCAAATTTGGTTACAGTACGAAAATGGCCTATTGAAATTGAATACAGCGGCCAAGTGCGATCGATGTTTTCAATTTTCACTGGATGAAAGGCGAGAGAGTTTCGTTTGTTTTCAATTAGTGTTCGATCAGCCGTAACTTGTGCTGTCAATGGCTCAACAAAATCTTACATTAAACCAGCAATAGCTTTGGATAATGTATTTATGTAAATGTTTTTGCAATTGACAAACGAATATTCGAATTTCTCAAAAATACGCCTTGATGGAATGATTTGGGTTCGTCATGGCAAAGTGAAAAAACAAAACATTATCGAGATCAAAGAACGTAAACGTGTGTGACTGATCAGTTTTAGGTTGTAGGAGAAAATTGTAGAGGTATTAATGAATTAGAATGTCGCATTTGGTTTTTAAATTTCAAATAAAATGTTTACATTTTGCCTACCTGGTCCATTGAAAGTATGCGTTGAGTCACAATTTATTGATTCTACGTTTCGTCGATTCCAGCGGAACGGACGTGACATTCAGACATTGGGTGTGAGCGTGTGTGTAGGTGTGAGGCAGGGAGAAAGTACAGATTTACGCATGCATGCACATCCTAATTCATAGATATTTACGATCAGGTAGAGCGTAGCGAGCGGAGCGTAAATTGGCACGGGGTCCATTTTTGTAGCAGGCCAGGGGCGTGGAGCGTCATTCAAAGTCGGGGGCCGGGGGACCAACAAAAAGGGGCACTTTATGGGAAAAAGGGGCACCTACAAAGGAAAACCTCAAACCGAAAATATACATTGGTATATACCCCTACATTGTGATTACATTATAAGGGATGATTTTGATGTTAGTTTCTCTCTTTAAATGGTCCATACATTTACTTTGCAGTTCGGTGTGATGGTCTGATTAAGATTTTGTGAGGTCGCAGTGCAAAAAAAAAACAACTACATCTTATAAAGACGAAAAACAATCCTGATTGTGTTTTAAGCACAACCTTACCATGAAAGACTGAAAAGATCTTTAATAGGAATCGCAATTATATCAACTTTAAATGCGAACGAGCGCAGCAAGCCAGCTTTGGGTAAAATTAAAGAAAAAGTTGCTCTAAATCGCTTGAAATGATGGGAGCACATTTTGTGGGGAAATGAAAAGGGGGCACATTTTCAAAGGGAAAAGGACACTTATTAGAAAAGAAGGAAAAAAAAGGGGAAATACCGGAGGTGAAAAGGGGGCACTCCTCGCACTTAATAAAGGGCACTCACCAGAGACGAAACAAGACAATTATGAAAACAGAAAAGGGGCACTTATTACAGAGGAAAATGGCACTAATTAGAAAGGATAAGGGTCACCTCTCAAATTTGAAAAGAATGACTTATAAGAATAAAAAGAGAGCATACAAAGAAAAAGAATCACATGTCAAAATATAAAGAAAACCTCTTAGATTGAAAAGAGGCGACTATAAGGTGAAGGAGCACTTATCAGAGATGGTAAGGGGTACTTATTGTACATGTACCTGAAAAGGGACAATCACCTGAGATGAATAGGGGCGCGTGTGATAATTGAAAGGGGCACTTATTACAAAGGAAAATGGGCATCTATGAGATTTTAATAGAGGCATTTATCAGGTGTCAGAAGTGGCATTATGAGAAAGGAAAGTGGCTCTTATCAAAGAAAGAAAAGGGGCATTTATCAGAAAAGGGGCACTTTTCCTATGTAAAAAGGGGCACTTTAGGGGTACCTTGAAAAGTGTGGGGAAACTATGCCCATCCCCTGCCTCCCCCAGTTCAGCCGCGTCTGGAATGTAGGCATTTAATCACGGTCAGATGAGCATATTTTAATACCTTATCAGAACCCCCTCCCCGAGTAGGAAGCATTTGCCATTTTAGAACCACATTAGGCGCATTTTCAGGCACTTCCTGGAGTAATATGACGTAAAATTACTTTCTTCTACCCCCTCCAAGAGTAGGGATGTTTTGCAATTTCATAACCACATTTGGCGCAATAATGTCCACCGCACTTCCTGGAAAGAAAACGAGGCCTTCTGATTGGTTATAAGTTAAAGAAAAGTGATCTGTCAAGTGGCCCCGCAAGTGGCGAGACGTTGTATATGCTTCATTGCTACACAATGCATTAAAGACGGTGGTATGGTGGGGGTAGGGGGGGGGGGAGGTGTAGAGGCCACCGATTACCGACAAAACTAGCCACCAATTACCGACAAATATATTAATGCCAATGTCCCAATGTCTACAGATTTAACCCTATACCCTATATAAGTTATTATTCAGTCCCCCCCCCCCCCCCCCCCCCCCCCCCCCCCCCCGCGCGAAACGCGCGGAAGCATTGACACTTCGTTACACTATTAGAGACAGAAGACGATTCGATGTACCGTTCCCGACTCTTTATGCTTGTTTCGCCCCTCCCGTGCGAAGCGCAGAAGCTATGACACTTCATTTAATTATTAGAGAAAGAAAACGATTCGTTGTACCGACTCTTAATCATTTTCTGAATTTTCAAAAATATTTCTTTGTCCGATAAAAAGTCACAGTTCGTAGGGGAAAACAAAATTTGCTGGCCGACCGTAATAATACATCTCACCGACTTCAAACTTCTCCATTGACATAGAGGATCGAGCAAGAATACCGACACAGCAACATAATTATCTATACGTATATTTCTTGCCTCTTCGGCGTGGTGACTCCACCCAACATCCCCTCTCTCTCTTACTCCCACCCCTCTTCTCTCAGGCTCTTACCCCCTCTTATCTCTCTCCTCTCTTCCATCCCCTTTTCTTTTGTTTCCCTTTTCTCTTCTTTTTTCTTTTTCTTTCTTTTCATTTCTTTCCTCTCATTCCTCTTTCTCTTTTTTCTTTCTTTCTTCTTTTCTCTTACCTTTCTTTCCTTTCTTTTCCTTTTATTTCCCTTTCCCTCTCATTTTCCCCTTAACCTTTTCTCATTTTTCCCGCAATTTCACTGACAATATCCTGACAGATGGGGTGGGCGTGAGGGTGTCGCACCCTCCACACCCCACCTCTAGCGACGCCCCTGGTTTTTATCCCAATATTCTGTAAAAGGAAATGCAACTCCTCATGCTCTCGCACCCTTCTGCTATCGTTGTTTATAATTCTCTTTTTCCTTTCTCCTTTAACTCTCTTAAATTCTCTCTTTCCCCCCTTTTTCCATCTCTTTTTTTTGGTTCTTCTTGTGCTTTTTTTTTGGGGGGGGGGGGAGCTACACGCCTGGCAAGAGGCTCCCCATATTATGCACACTGCAAAATTGCGCATCCCCGCCCCTTTCCCGGTAAAAAACACCTTTTTATAATATCACCCCCTTTTTTTCTTTTCCCTTCTCATTATTCTCATTTTCCCCCTTTTCTCTCCTCCGTCTTTCTCCCTTTCTTTTCCCCTTCCCTTTTCTCCTCTCCCCTTTTTTTATTCCCTCTTTTCTTCTTCTTTTTCTCTTCCCTTTTCTTTCTTTTCCCCCTCCTTAGTCTCCTTTTCTCCCTTTTTGCCCCCTGAATCCACCACGGGAACAAATAAGGCTTTTACGGAAATGATTTTATGAATCCACAAACTGCCAAAGCTTGTTGGCGCTTTTTTGCTGAATTAAGCTTGAGGCCCCTGAGCCCCGCCATAGCACAAGCCCTGAAGGGAGTGCTGCTGTCAAGGCCCAATGTAATTCACCACAACTGTAAAACCAATTTTTTTTTTCATTATCTAATGTATTGTTAAAAATTGCACAATACTAGAATAAAAGTATCATTAAAACATCAAATGCTTTTCCGTGTGCTTTATGTTTTATTTACATCAACATTCGTATTGCCTTTCCAACAACATTACACTTCGACTTATTTCAATAAACAATGTACACATTAGTAACAAAACATGTACAGCACACAAAAATATTCAGAAATTCTATACTATTCATATTTACATGGAAGGTTTGAAAAAATTACAATATACAAGTTCAGGTTCCACCACTATGTACACTTTTCATACAAAAAAGCCACAATCCTACAACTCTATTTGCATTTTCAGAAATTTACATGAAAAGTAAATAAATTACAATAATATTAAATTCCCCTATTAATTTTATTTTGGAGAAGAAATGAATCTCATTAAAATAATATATATTGGATCCTCTGTGAGATGGTTAATATTATTTATTTGTCAATGTGATTTGTTTGTAAAAAAACAAATTCTGAATACCGATAACCAGAGTCCCGTTGCATAAAACTTACCACTGATGGTATCTTTGCCATCAATATTAGCAATACAAGCAATACACCGGGGGAAAATAAGAGAGAGGAACAAAATACAGTGAATAGATAATCATGGCCACTTTGACTGCTATGTATGCTTGCCAGGAGATGTAGAAAACAAACCCAAAAGTAAACGGTATATTTATATGGAATACACCAAACGGCAGTCTTTTTTACTCAAACTTATTGGTTTAGTCTAACCACTTTCGTAATCACCCCACATTGTTTAATAATATCTTCACAATTCACAACCACTCATGTATTTTTTTTCTATAAATCCCTGATTCCTTCAACAAGAATCTTGATGTTTTCTCTGAATATCAAACTGCATCATCCACTTCAACAGTAGTAATAGTGCAAAAGCCATAAAAATACATATAGCTGTCATAAATTCTTGCTGTTGTTCAAAAAATTGCTACGGTTATTAGAACAGTCCATTCCATTTCATTTCTTGTAAATTGTAGGCATAGCAAGCATGAAATGTGGATTTTTGCTTAAAGCGTAAGATATACTGATTTTTCTGTTTGGTGCAAAACCCTTCATACAAATAAGATTGAAGTTATTGTGTTGATGCAGGATAAACATGTCACAAACCATAAATGTAAGACATGAACAGTGACTATACAGTCTACAATCAGTGCATGTGTGCTTGTCATATGACTACCTGAATATTACACAAGCTTATATTCTTTGCATCAATATCATAACATACTGGTCTGGCAAGCTATTTGTACATGTTCAACGTTCAAGAAAGGTCTACCACACTTTTGAAAAGTAGGGCAACTTAAAGGTAATACAAAGTTTTGGGAAATTTTGAAAATTGGGTGGATAGTGAATTTTTACAATTTTCATATGTTTGGAAGCCTCTTTGGATGTATTATAAGCACTACAAAAATTAGCCCCTAAAACACTTCTGTTTTCGAGAAAAATTGAATATAAAAATTTACCGGTGCTCCCGGTAAATTTTGATAAATTTCAAATAGCGCCTATGGCCGTACAATGGTAGCTGCGACCATGAAAATCTCAGACTATGTAGTTGTGATATATAATTTCCAAACGGGAATAGCTAATCGGTCGATTTTAGTCAAGAAACATTGTTTCAAAGCTAAATTATTATATTGACCTTGAGAGGGAGCTATACAACATAAAGAGTTTATTATTTATAATTTCATAACTTCAGACTCGATTTCAACCGCGACAACGATCAATGAATATTGTAGGAACGCATATGCTTCTAATATGTTCATTTGAACCGAATTCATGACCCCATACCAAAACTTTGTAATACCTTTAACTCATGCCTAAATCACTTGCTTTCAACCTTAAGATGGCTCCAGACATACTTAAGGTTACTTAAGGTTGACTTCTGGAAGCAGCTTAAGATGCCTCGCCTCTATGTACAGGTCCTGGTTAATTGATAGCACTCGGGCAGTATACCGGTAGGCGTTATCTGAGAGAGCTGCTCTGTAATTGTACTTAAACTCAGTAATTTGCCAAAGACTTGCCAGCCTATTTTTAGATTCAAAAGCAGCATAACAGCTACAAATATCAATACTCCTAAGAAAGCCTAGTTCTCCATTAATATTGGCAGTGTATTGAATGGTAGGACAAAGCTATCAAGAAACACTGGACATAATCTCTATGACTCTACTTTCATATGCATAAAATGTACAGCCTTGAAATGAGTTTATAAATACAAAAATAGCCTAGAAGCATGAATTTCCTACTTACTAGTAATGAATCGTTTCAAAGTGTATTCCAAAAAAAAATACTCCACAAATATTACAGAGGTGTTGTCTCTAACTATCACATGTTCTACATGTACATCAAAATTGCAAGTAAAAAACAATACTATTTGGTGTCTTACTGTTTTACTCAAGTACAAAGCTTACTAGACTTAAGGAAACTATACAGCTGCTCATCAAAAGTAGAGGCATCGCCTTGCTTGCTGGCATATGTTTCACTTTACAGGAATATTTATATTCTGTTATAATGGTTTAAGAATGCAGAAAATGTATTCTGGTCAAATGACGCCCAGGGGCCAGTTTCACAAAACTTGATATCAGTGACAAATGATAGGCTTTGTTATAAGCTACTGAAATCCTTGCTTCCGATTGGTTATCAGCAGATTTGTCACTAATTTGTTGTCATTTGTCATTGAAAAAAGGATTTGTGAAATGGTCCCTGGTCTGTGCATCATACTTAATACTGCCCATGATCAGAAAAGCTGTGGCATGTAAGTATTTGCAGTACACAGTTCTGTAGATTATCTGCTTATGCTTAATAGTACTGTTTATCTGTGTAGCATGCAACAGTCACTGACATAATGTTCATCCGACTAATAGGAAATTTCATTGGGAAAAATACATCACACAAATTACTTGTTCTCACAAAGGTAAACGATAAGGTCCATCAATATATTATACCAATATCCTGATACATTCTGTAAGCCAATGTTTTTGTGAGGGTTTTATTACATGTTTCACTAATTTCCTGAATTGATGTACGATCAAGTATATTATATCCCATATACATGTACTATATATTGTGTCAGCCAATATTTTTGTGAGGGTTTAAATTACCTTTACATTAAATTCCTGAATCGATGTACAGTCAAGAATTTAAAACATACAACAATAAGTTGTCAAAGCATATTTGAACATGTAGTATAAGTTTCCAGTGTTAATTATAACAGAAACAACTCGCAGAAATGTCTGTGTCTTTGTCATACACAAAATATTCGTACATGAAAAGATTGGCTTATACAGTACAAATAAGGGTGTCAAACTGGTATGATTACATAAGCGCACCCTATCGTCTGATGATATATTTGGTATGCTATGTCAGAAGGTTGATTTACACGGTCCATGAATAATTGAATGTATCACACTTACAATAACCCTTAGTCAGTAGTGTGAATTTTTCAAGTATTGATGGGAATTCTATAATGATTTAGCTAACTACACAAACTGAAATCAGGCAAAAGAGGTAAATAAGGGGGTAAATGAGAGGAAAATAGGGGGGGGGGGGGTAAAACAAAGGAACAGATGACTTTGGAGGGAGGGGGGGGGGGGCTACTGCAGCATTACAAGTGCATTTATACATCATATAGTGCTTTCTGAATAATGCTTCCGCTTTCATGGCATATTTAGACAAAACAAATATATTCTGAATGGAAACGATGCATTGTGACTGAATATTTATACACACTGTACAGATAGAAAGGGGAGTTGACAGGAGCAATCAAAACATGCATACTTCTTGGTCAACATTGTGATAATAAGCTCAATGGAATCATACGATACTAAATTAATCTACGTTCTCTCAAAAAGGATGTGATCAATGTGGAAGTAAATGGTAAACTACCAATATGAGAGATGCACATTACATTCGGAAAGTGAGAGTAGTAGTCTACATTCCAATATGGAAATTTTATGTGACCAAGAAAAAATGATATAATCAAAATTTATCTCCATACATCCAAATTTCTGATGTTTTACTGTTTTGAGGTTTATTTCACTGCAGACAAAATTGCATTTAACACATTTAGCATTTCATTTTGACTGACACAAGAAAGCTCCTCCTCGTAGGCAATCATGGGCAACGTATGTTTCAGCTATGTCAGGCAAGACCTCTGACAAGCACCACAGGGTAACAAAGAATAAACACATGACCAAGAAATATGCGTATGACATTTGAATACAAATGTGAACTCCCCTCCTCATTGATTGAATAGGACTGCATTCACATTAAACATTAGTGAATGCAACGTTTGTTATACATCTAGTACTACACCATCCTCCTTATCCTGGTCCTTGTCTCCGTCGTAGAACTCATTCGCTGGTTCAATCCTGAAAAAAACACAAGACAAAATGAAAATAACTAAGTTAAAAAAACTAAGTAATAATTGAATTGAAAAGATTAAAGCCCCACTGCACTACTTATAGCTACTTGCGCCCTCTATATAGCCAACAATGCCTAAGCGGTGCATTATGATGCCCTTTTTCTTATGTCAATTGAGAGCTGATTTGATGAAATAACCACCTGCCAGTGACCATGCAGGGAGGTATAATCCCTTCATGCCAAACTAGTGCAGAGGGGCTTTAATGCATGCAATGTTTATTACTTTTTATATTCCTGCAATTTACTGGTGCTCTTGGACGTACAAAATGTCACAGAAGACATAGAATCTGATAGCATTAATCCAACAACTCTCGGATATGTACTACTTTTTCATCTATTATGTCAGGACACATTAATGGGAGGACATTTTAAAGGCCAAAGTAATTAGCTTTTCTACTGCTTATTTTTCTTTTAATATTATTTTTTCATATTGAAAATCATTCAGCTGAAATTTCAAATTTCAAATTGCTAATTTTCATTGTAAAAATGGTAATTCTTAATTTTCTAACCTGTTGGAAATTTAACATTTTAATGCTTAATTTTTCTACAAAGTTCTTATCAAAACGAGTCATTAAGAAATGCAACATTAGTGTAGTTTTGCTCTTTCTTCTCAGGCATCTGGTATACCACAAAATATGGTCAACTGGCCAGAATGGATTTGTGTCTAATAGGGTTCAACGACACAAAGATGTAACTCAATATTTTGCCAAAATGTTCAGAAAAATGTGGGCTTTCCAGGAAACACAAAGACTTAACTCCACCCAACACCCCATTGAACTCAATGGCTAGTGAAACATAGACTTAACTCCTTAAGGCCCAAGTGCTCAGTGACACATAAACCTCTTTTTCTCAAAATGGTCAAAATGGAGTTACGTCTTTGTGTCACTGACCCCTCGCTATGGTCTTACCTTTCATCTTGATCCTTGGTGCTGTTCCTCACATCTGGGTCAGGTTCCTCTATATTCTCTAGACTGAGCAGATCTGGAGGTACATCATGCATCTGTACACTGGGTGCGTGGGCTATACACTTCAGGTTGTCATGCACCCCCTGCCTCACCTGGTCAATGTACTGCAATGGAGGAATGTCAGAGAAATCAATTATAGTCCTGATTATGAAAACAAAATGATGAGGTATGAAAGGAAGTAAAAGTGACAGGGATAAGGAAGAAGATTAGAGAGAGAGAGAGCAGAGTGAGATGGTATGTAATAGAGAAGAGGAAATATGAAGATGAACTGATTATACATATATTAGGCAGCAGAGAGAAAGGAGAAAGAAAGGAGTAAGAAAAGAAGACCTAGAAAGAGGTGGCTTCATTGTATCAAGGAAGATGGTAGAGAAACACAGTCGTCCACCTTACTTGGATTCAAACCTAGGCTCTTTGATTTGACAGGCAGACACTTTACTGACTGATTCAACTTTTCTCCCTAATCCCTCTATTTACAATGTAATTATTTAGTTAACATGCAATAAGAGAGCTTATTCCTAAAAAAAAAGACAAATTCCTTAAATTTGAGAAGAGTGAAATTAAACTTACTGCTTTTGTGTTTAGGTTCTCGATTCTTGTTGTGGTGTCTGGATGCAATGTGAAATCTGGTGCAAAGTACTCAAAGTAATCTGAAGATATGGAAAGAATAAACATTTCATTAAAGATTGCGACTGAATGTGTAGCACTATTCCAAATTATCCACACTTCTAGAATGGAACTAAAATTTGCAGAGTAAATTGAGTTTTCAGTTAAGTCCTGAAAGTGTAGAGGGCGATGTTTATATCGGGATGTTTTTTGTCCATGATTGTACCAATGTTGAGCTCCTATGAAGGAAGGGTGTGTTTAGGAACTGTAAATAAAGTCTTCTGTCACCTTTAAAGCTTCTTGAATTTCTGCCCAATATTTATTAAGCTGCTTCTAAAGCTACCTCACACAAAAACAAGGAACTCTTGGAGATTGTGCTTTCATTTGCACCGCTCATAAGCTGTGGAATAACCTACCACTAGACATAAGCAAAGCCACATCTGTTGCCATCTTCAAAGTTTTGTTGAAAATGCACTGTTTTCAGGGTCTTTTGATTAGTTTTTAAAATCTTTTTTATTTGTATAATTGTGTCTGTAAAGTAGCACTGTTAGGGATTTTGTTTACAGCACGGCGCAGTCGAGTATATTATATAGTAGCTACACTATACAAATTGATCTAATCATTATCACTATTATTGTTTATTAAGTTAAGAGGTTGATTGAGTGAGTGATCCACATTGCACAATATAGTTTTGTGAGAAACACAGTGTGATTTTGGGGTGAATGATTGAGGAGGGTTCAAGAGACTGCTAGGCAAGGTGCTACCCCAGGAGAGACCGGCTTACGTGACAATACATTGCTTATATATAACTGAACCTACTTACCATTGTAAGGAAGCTCATTGCTGATCTCATCATTGAGTAATAACGATGTTTCATATGTCCTGCAGAAAATGAAAATAAGAATCAAAATTAACACTTGAGCCAAGTTAATGAACTTAGAAAACCAAAGTCTCATTAATGATAGTAGCACAGGTACATGTATCCCAAGCAATCGTCATCAAATTAAATGGGGTAATTAGATGGATTACTACATTAACACAGCCTTAATTTCTTTTCTGTTGTTTTTATTTAGGAAATACGCTATATTAAGAAGACACATTCATTTGTGAAACTGTTGGTCATAATTCGACATAGAATATGTGTTACTGAGCAAAGATTGTATGAGGTATATTTAACCAATATAAAATATATTTTTCATCTGTATCGATATCTTATTAATGTATTATGTCAATTAAACCACATTTGATGACAGCATTGAAAAACATCACGAACACTTCATACGAGAAGTGATCAACTACTTTTAATTCCATGAAAAGAACCATAGATATATTCAATCCATTAAACAGTAATGTAAAACATCTACAATTTAATTGAAACACATTTTGGAAAACAGATATACTTACCAACACCTGGCTACATTCCTGACTGTGTAACCACCCCCTCCCATCACCAGGAGGGGTACATTGAATTGTTTGACGTACTCTACACATTCACCGTGACCTTTGATACTGAGACTGAAGCAACCTAGTCTGTCACAGCCTAAGGAGTCTGCTCCACACTGTAGAGATATTAAACAGAAAGTCGGGTTGATATCGTATTACCACGGCAAACAATGATGAACAATTTAACATTATACAGTGACTATTCATAAAGATAAGGCTAGTCCAAACTATTTTGTCTGGATTGTTACTGACCATTGAGGTGTTTCACAAAGACAAAGATTGACTTTAAGTGGGACTTAACTATGGCAGACCGTTCATGCCACTGTTTGCTCTCAACATTTACTGGCATTGGTCTCTCAAATGGATGTACAAATCATGGTTACAAATCTACAGAATTTACAGAATTTACATTTGTTGAGAAACCAATGGTGAGAGCAACCAGTCTTTGTGATACACCTCCATGTTATCAGATTGTTGTTTTATCTGATGATTGTTCTAAGATTATAGCCATACTAGAGCTTGGATCAAACCAAATATAAAGGAAAACGATACATTTAATATCAATCTATGTTTCTTACTGCTTGAAGCTTGTCAACGATTTGAACACAAAATCACAAAATATCTTGGACTTGCCCATGTATCAGGCATGAGCAATGGTAAATTAACTTAATAACTTCTTCTTCTTCTTCTTCTTCTTGTGGAAATCTTCAAACAGCTATGCAGACTATCATAAAGATTGGGACATATCAGGGTCCCAAAGGAGGAGATGATGGAAATCCACCTTAAAATAATGATTTGAAATATTTTCATGCCATTCTCAAGAAAATGTATTTCTTAAAGCCCATTAATACTTGTGAACAGGGGGGATTAGACTACCCTGCAAGGTCACTGGACAGTTGGCTATCTCATCAAATCAGCTCTCAATTAACATAAGAAAAAGATGATTATGGGGGACCAACAGTCACCGATTAGGCATTGTTTGCTATATAGAGGGTGCAAGTAGCTAGAAGTAGTACAGTAGGGCTTAAAACATCCTACTTATATGTTAAATAAAGCAATCTAAAAGTTAATCATACTAACCTTTCAAATCAGGGGACAAGAGATAATTACTCGAAAATTCTTTATGACCATAACATTCAGGTTTATAAGCATACAGTTTGAGACACTAACCTGTAGGACTATACATGAAGGTCTGTAGAACTCCATGACACTTTGTATAACTGGTTTGAAGAGACCAGAGTACATGAGATCATCTATGCCATCCTTGAGAGGTACATTGATGGAGTAGTAGCGACCATTCTCTAAACCAACCTCATACATGTCACCTGAAATATAAGAAAATAAAGAGATGGGAATTATAACAGAGTTAGTGAACATATTAGACAGAGATACCTGTACACTTATTAGTCAAAGGTAATGTGACTCATCTGAATTTCATTAGGGATCATTTCGTGCATAAACAATCACAAAATGACCAACTTTTAACTAGTTATCTTAGATTTAGTATTTCATAGGTTAAAGAGTAAATTGCCACAAAGTTTTAACTTAGCCTTGTTAAATTGAGCCCCCAACTGAATAGGTATTCACATTGTGATTGCATAAATGATATGTATGCTGACATTACTATATGTTTATATTTCCAGCACAGTTCCACTAAATCAAAGAGGTATTGTGGTATCATGGCTATGTCAAGAGACTATAAAGTATGAACCACATATTACACAATTTAAATCAATGCTGAAATACCCCTGAAATAAACGGGTACCCAGTAAAAAGGAACCCCTTGAATTTGAGCACCTTATCACAGAAACTGGGCTTATAATGGTATTCAATGCCTGGTATTCTCAGTAGAAAGTATTTATAAATAAAAATCTTCAACTGTCTTTTGTTTCTAAACCTTTTAATCCTTCTCCAGATATGCAGCAGTAGACCATGGCATTTTCTTTAAACATGATGACGTAAAGCATAATACGCTTAACATTTGCCATTCATTTATGCGCACAAGAATAAACTGAAGCGATTTTTTTTTTTTTTTTTTTTTTTTTTTTGCGGCGGTTTACCTCGTCATATATCTGAACAAGCCTTTAGTTTAGTCTTCACCTACCTGTGCCCGGAAAGAAGTGATTGCCATACTTGTGGAATGATACTGTCATGACCCTGTCTGTGAGGTAGAATGCTTCTTGAACCCCATCTCCATGGTGGATGTCTATATCAATGTACAGCACTCTAGGGTGATACCTGACAGAGCAGGGATCAAGAATGGTGAATTTATCAAAAACAATTGACACAATCATAATCAAGAGATGTGGAAAAGGAATAAGGGTAAATAATTCTTAGGAAGGTCTGATCCATTAATAATTTTAAATCAAGACTTACAATATGAAAGTATACCGTACAAGGTACACCACAATGGAAAATATCATAGCTTAAAGGAATTAGACATATGAATTATAGGTTTATATATCCCCAATCATATAAATTTCTATGAGTCCAAAAAAGGAAATCAACTGCATACATTACAACTAAGACTAAAATCTTAGTTAGTCATATCCTTGATAAACTAAGCATTCAGTACTCTTAGTTTATCCTTAACATTTTACAAGCGTTAACCATGACAATAAATATCATTAACAACAAGTATGTGAAAAAATAAGTGATTTACGTTTTCTTGAGAATGTGACATATTAAAGCTTACATCTAAAAGTATTCAACAAAAGTATTCAACAATTCAACCAGTCTATCTTCCATTCTTGAGTTTAAAAAACCCCATAAAAACATCCGATTTACAGTGGGTTTTAATAATTTAGTTGTTAGTTATATGTATCTTACTTGAGGATTTCCAAAATAGCAATGACGATATCATTGACATAGCAGAACCCTGAAGCCTCAAACTTCTTAGCGTGATGAAGACCACCTGCCCAGTTGACTGCAATATCACACAGCTGTAAAGGAAACAAAATTTTCACCCAAAATACATTTAAATATGTAGTATGTTACTTTCAAAATCCTTGAAATCCATTTCTAGCTGTCATTTTCATAAAACAGGGAAATTGTTGAGGCAGCTAAGTGGATAATGTGATTATTTCCTGAGTTCTTTTTTAAACAACTTTCAACCAAATGTTATACTATAAAGCTGCTTGGTTATATTATTGAGCTCAAAGGCACAGATAACACCACATCAAACCCATAGAATGGATCCAGTTGAAAGAAAAAGTTAAAGCAGAGGATAATAAATCAAGGATAACCTCAATAGAGCAAATATCATTGCTTGAGAGTTTACTCTCGTAAACACATCTACAAATACATGAAGTTTAACATTTGAAAGAATTTCCTAACAGCTTTTACAACTGTCTACTTTTGGTCATAAACAAAACTTAGGGAAACAGATTGTTAAAGCAGCTACACAAAGAAAATTTACTAACAACTGATCATTAGAACAAATTACATATGGATGGAAAGATTTTCTCTTGAAAAACACGAATAATTTGCTGAGAAATTATATAGATACCATGGAAAGGCGTAAAATGCAATATTTCAAGACCCTTCTTAGACCCCCAAGCGCCCCCGAACGTAAGCCAAACACACAAGCGTAGCAAGCTCTGAATAGTGACGTCACACCCTGGACAAACAGCTCGGTACCGGCCGCATACCGGAGTCGCGCGTGTATTAGTCTGCAGCTAGCCAGCCGTGTCCCGTGTGTGACGTCACAAATATTGACGCTCTACAAAGGACCGCTGAAGGCAGAAAATCTGGATCTCAAAACTAACATTTTTGAGAGTTGATTACTGCGGGCGTGAAACATATTTTGAAGAAAAGAGTTGTTGTATTTGATCGGCAAGGCTTCCCCTTCGCAATGATATGAGTTTTGCATCAATTCAAAACACTTTTTATTCTTTGTGTGTCTACTTTAAGTCTGATTAATACTATGGATAAAAATGAAATGCATAACAATTCTCACATTGTTGTTGAGTTTGGTTGCTGCTTCTAAAGATGCTCCTGTGTACATGGAACAGAAGTCAAAGAGACCTGGAAACACTGGACAGTCGTCACCGACATTGAAATGACTTAAGCTCTTGGTGAAATTCTGGATGTTCTGCGGTGTTACTCTTTGTAAAAAGTCAATGTAGTCATCTGAATGAAATCTGCACATGTCGTGTGCTGTAGCCCTGTATGGTCTGTAAATCTTGGAGAGGATAGGAAAGAGATCATACGCATGTTTTAATTTTTCCTCAGATTAATAAATTCTGAACATGTTTTTTTAAAGATAAATGTGTGACAATGCACTGATAAGAATTAAAATCTGCACAATTAATTACACATTCTGAAATGCCATATTTTAATCAATGAAATTGTTACTTGATATTTTTTTTATTGATATTAGAAACAAATACAATAACAATTCTCATTGAGTATTAAATATCCATTTATTCTTTAATAAATTCAATAAAAAAGCTACATGTAGGAGGAACTTTGCTGACATTCTCTATACCCTACTTGACATAAAAATGAAAGCATTTTCTGATTTATAAAGTCTAAAATTGTACATAAAAGTTTGAACTGTCAATGTTTGATATCTTGGTTGCACATCATCTGTTTGGAGCTTGGAGGGCATTACCTAATGACATATATAATATAATAGCCTAATAGTCCACTCCAAATTTTATTAAACCGAAACGGAAATTCTTTTGCCCGATTGATCGTGAGCCCGGCAGCCAATGAGCAGCGCCAGATCGACGTTGCTCTATCGCTTAACATTTAACATGGTGTTAACAGTTCCCGGAATTGAGTCTTAAGTTACAAATGATGAACTGAATTTTTGCCTGTGGCATTATATTTTAAAAGGACTTGGTATAAGAAATAAGTTATCTTACCTGCATTTTCTTGTAGAGGCCATAGTTGAGTACTAGATTGTGTGTGAGTGCTAATCTATGAGGCTTCATGGGATGACCAGGACCTAAAGAAGCAAGTGTGACATTCATTCAAATATTGAAAAGTAGCACTTATATGTAATGCATGCATTAAGAATGCTCAAAAGGCCTAGATTCCTACAAGATACATGAAGGTGACAACGGACAAGGGTTGGCTGTCCATACACAAAATTAAAGTTGTCACTTTTGCCTTTGGATTTAAAGTTGATACTCTAAGACAATCCCAAATACTGAGATAATTACATAAATAGAAAGCTTTTAACCCCCATAATAACATCAAATGGTGTCCACCTGACAAAACAAGTTTAGAATAATGAATTTATTCAAGTAAACTCTACCAAAATATCTAAGCCTGAAACCCGGAAGTGCACGTAGAGTCGGGCCTCTATCCGTGACGTCACGAACGGGACTCATTGGCTCAGTGAGAGTGAATGGCAGTGATATCCCTACGTAAATGCTATCCTGTCAGAGCTTAGATTTGTTGTTATTAAGGAGTATATTTGATGGATTTTCTGTTTTCATTTGAATGAAGAATAACGAAGCAACATTTTCCAGTCGCTGATTTCTTTTTATATCCTCATATTCACCTATTTGGTAGAGATTTAAGACGAGTTTACTGCTTAGGAATTAAAGTTAAATCGTGCACGTATGAATAGGCGGATGCATTATATTGTCATCAGATAAGGTACAGGAGCAGTTTTGTAAAACGAATAGGTCTAGAACTATGATAGTACTTATCATAGATGTGTGTGACTGCCTCAAAAAAGGATACAGTTCCAGTTAAACATTTTATGTTGTAAAATATCAAACTTGAACGAGATCATGCAAGCGCGCTTCCTCTATAATATTTTGGCGAGTGATGCGGCTCTTGCATGAACGTTCGTGAAGCGAGCAGAATCGGGAGGTAAGACCAAGCCGCTGCTCTAGGCGCTGCTTGATTGTGATGGAACGTACGTGCGCTAGTTATATGTTTATCAGCAATTGCAAGAGAATGAAAGCGACGTTGCCAGCTAAGAAAAACAACTAACAAAGACTTGCTCCTGACTACCGGTGTCAGAATTGGTAGATGAAGGATCTTCAGGGCCAAGGAAGGCGAAAGACATGAGAAAAAGGAAGAAGAAACCATCGGGAGATCGCTGTAGTGTATGGTAATGAACTGTGCATGGGTATATGCTACTGTTCACTCCGTGCCTGGGCCGATTTCAACACCAAAACAAAAATTACATGGTGAAAATATCGACTAATAGCACATCGTTGGCATGTATATGTCATAATTTTTAAAAGGGGAATTGATATTAATACTGAACCAATGCTGTATGGACTATGAAGCTGGAGTGAGTAAAGTTATTCAACATTTCTTATGTTAATGCTGGCAGAACATTAAATTTATTTTCTCATGTTACATAATCAAAACACACCTACCTCCTAGATTATCCCTTGTAACATATTAGTATGTATTTTAATGTACCCCCCCCCCCTCCATGATTCCTAGTACCTTGTTTTACTGATAAAAAATGATATTGATAACTCACTAGTGTTGTCAGATAGACTCTAATTTTTTTTATAATGGATTACGTTTCACATATTTCTTTTCGATATTGAATTCTTCACTATCACAAGTCATTCATTTCAGTCACTTGTGCTTGCATCATTCACGTTCATGACTTTACTTTACTTTTCATTTAGTTCCACATCCACATCACAATCATCATGATGAACATGATGATTGTGATGCACGACATTGACAATCAACAACATCAACAGTCAAGTCAAGACAACAACATTATTGTGGGTGAAAAGACTAAAGATCAGTCACTATTTGTCTACACTAAAGTTACCTAAATACTTCAATTTCTTTAACTTGACAAACATTATTTACATCAAGGCTTTTAAAGCTATAACTTGACCTAGCTTCCTTCCATTTCCAACACGTCCCATTCATTCATGCAAGTCCTTTGTTTCGTGATTCAGTGAATGCGGTGCACGGTGTCTGTGCGGGAGGATGACTTCCCCGCGTTCAGACCAGACGATGTTCTATGATTTAAAACTTGTTTAAAATTGCATGAAACTTTCTTATACAAATAATATACATCCATCTACTTTCCACTTACCATAATGAAAATTTCCAACGTCTGCATCGTAGAAATAAGCTATTGTTTTATTCGACATCGTGAAGTGAGTTGAGATTGGAGACTCAATGAAATTCAATCATTCCAACTAAATTGAGTGATGAATAGGGAATCAATCCAAATGTAGATAACGGTTTTGAATAATTTTAAAGATTCATTATTCAAATTATATATATTTATCAAATTTTATAATTATATAATGATTTTTATGATAAAATTGAAGTTCGACTTACAAAAATTATAATCTATAACAAGAAACGATTGTATAGAGCCTGGTAAAAAAATAAAGATGGCCGCGCCCTTGGGATTAATTTCTGTGCGGCTCAGCGCTGCAAATTTCACCCGTAAACGTCGTCTAAAAGGATCAGGGTTATCAAAATTAGCTAAAGATGCAGCAAGCGATACATATTCAACGGAAAAAGTTACCACACATAACAAACCAAGTCAAGAAATAGCGTGTTTGCCTGTTATTGTTGAATTCCGCCGTCTCCTTGAGAGCGTCAAGAGCAACGGCATTGACGTTGTGCCCGGTGTAAGTATTTAGTGGGAGCCACCGGTAACCCGGAGTACTTGCCGCCTGAACGTCGGGGTACCATGAAAGTAAAGATTGACCCTGCCTGACCGGCTCCCGCAACTCGACTATTTCTAACTAATAACATGAAGTGGGTCGGATCTCCAAGTGGGTCGATGTAAATATTGACATCATTCACTGGTCTTAAGTATGAGATAGACTAGAGGCCTAGGGTCTAGAATCTATGCCTAGACTCTATCTCAATTTATAGCTCGATCTGAAAGCCTCTTTTTATTATGATTGATAATGAATATTTTTTTTAATTCTCAGATTTTTGAAGGATAAAAATTAGAAATAGGTCTAGACTCTAGATCTAGGTCTAGATGTCTGGAGTCTGGATATACATAAATATGTCTAAGATTCTATGCCATGGCATGACCATGATGTTCTAAGTAACAGTACCCATATACACTTCAAAGTGCTATAGCCTAGGGTAGCGCGCCCAGTATTCGTTCCATTCCCAGTATTCGGTCAGACAGCCGTTTCAACAGCTGTAACAATTAAAAAAATAATTTATGAGCCACAAAACTTGCACAAATCAGGCAGCTGAACACCTTTTCTTAACTCTCAAAATTGAATCAGATTTAGGGCCCTGGAAAGATCTCCAACTTAGCTCGAAATTGGTCAGTGTCGCACAACTTTCTGCACTTCCGCGTTCTGTTAGCACATGCGCTAACATGCATAGCCATATGTAGAAGTCTATTGCGAAACAACTACGTGTGCTGTCACAATGAATTTAGTATGTGTGTGAAGAGAATCACTTCCGTGTTCACTCCATCGCAGCGAATTTGCAAATGACGCACTTGCCGATGTGCAAGAGGTATTTATACGATACCCTTGCCATGCGGTATCGCTCGTCCAGTATTCGGTCAATAGTGCGCAAATACGCTTCACTCCTTGGTAACAGATATACCACGCCCAAATCGCGTGACCAAATTCTGGGCAAAAAATGCTCTGTCTTCTTTCGGAAGTATTTTGCTTATCATCATTCTATATTTTAAGTGACTTTAAAATCCTGTTAGAGGAATAATTTTGTTTTCTTTTGATGGGTAGATTGCAAAATAAAAGAGGTAAGAATTCAAAATATTAGCGATTTCCCCTTAAGTGACCAAATACTGGGCACTCTACCCTAATAAACTCCTTTTTAAACAAATGAAGAAGAAACTCACAATCAAATTAAATAGTCTAGATCTTCTAGAGAACAATGATAATCATTTAGACTGCACCCAAATCGAAATTATCAGTGAAACTTTGTTCTTCTTTACTGTCTCTTGCAGGTTTCCAATGTTGAGCTTCTCCATACAGTAGTAGGTCTCTACGACACCTGTCTCCCAGACATCACACCTCTGGTCCTCTATGCAACAGTGACTGGAAAATTGGCCAAAACATTAATACTTATCAGAAGTACCAAAGGTGAGGGAATCTACTTGTCTACTTTCTCTTCTTTCTTTCTTTTCCTCTCCTTTCATCCGTGCCCTGTTGTTTGTTATTGTTTCATTTACTTTTTCAAAAAGCATGACAGTTGTGCAAACTGACCTGGAAGATAAATTCTTGGAGGAGGAAGTATTTCTAAGGTCATACTTACACTTTGTGGAGTTTTTCCTTTTACCTGATCTATATCTTATGGTCATGGATTCTACACTATTTTTCAAGTAAGGAGTGAGAATAGAGAAATCTGGATGAAGACTAAACAGTTAGCCTGGTCAGCTAGACCGTGCTTCACAAGAATAATCCATTTTTTATGTGATTAGATGTGACACTGCATTTTTTTTCTCCTGAAGTAAAATGATGTAAACAATTTAGTGGGTTATTTGGTCCATTTATATCGCATGAGTGGGCTTTTTTTTTGTTTAAATTTTTTTTTTTAAATGATGAGGTTATTTTCACCTTAGACCTTACTTGACATTCAAAATAATGGCTAGGTACCAAACAGTCTACCAAGAATCAATGTTAAAAGTAGAAATTTGTACTGTAATGTCATTGGATATTCCTTTGCCTTATTTGTCTTCAACTAGATGTCGCTAAGGAACTACAGCAGAAGATTCTACAGAGGGAAAGAGAAGTAGAGACCACTACCGCAGCCAAAGAAACAGTACCAGAGAACAATAATTCCAACACGAACAACAATGACTCTACCGTCAGCCCTGGCACTCAATCTAAGGAAATAGACTCTGATGATGGAGAGGTGCCAAACAGTTTTGATGGATCCAAAGAAAGTCCTCTTTTGAGATTACTTGGAGGCAATGGTGGGGGAGAAGCAACTGATGTGAAAGGGAATGATAAAGACGTTGATGATGAGGATGGAAGGCCAAAGGGTGATGATGAAGATACGGTTGCGAAGGATGATACAGGTGAAGTTGCTAAGGAGGATGCAGAGGATGTGTTGGAGGAGGAAGAGCAGCGGAAAGTGTTTGCCGATGTCTTCAGTGATTCGGATAGTGAAGAAGAAGAGAGGTGAATTCAAATTGTCATTTTCACGACAGTGTGTATAGGCAGTTCAGATGTATCACAAGCAAATTCCTATCAAGTATAAATTATTTTGAAGTAATGATGATGTCTGAAATATATTGACTTTGTAAAAAGAGTCATTTTATATTGGGATGAGCTGATCTACATTAGATTGTTCATCAGGGCGGCATTTCAGAAAATGGTCATAAGTACATGTACAAGTTCTTTGACATCCAATTGAAATATGTGTGTTGTAATTAATGGGATGAGGGTTTCATGAAACGATGCCCAGTTTACTGTCTTGCAAGTTGTAACACCCCAAAAGTGGGTGAAGGGTCCTTTATACAATTGAATTGAGAAGTCTTATGTTTGTACTTAAACTTTAATTTATCTTAACAGTGAAGATGAAGAGGAAGAAATGGACTTCTCCAAAGGCATCAATGAATTCTTGAGATTGGTGAAACAGAGGAAGGAGAGAAGAGAGGAGTTGAGTTTAAACCCGACTCTGGAAGAAGTAGAATCAACGGTCGGGATTGAGTCAAGGATCGTGGCTTGTGCTACTTGGGAAAAGTCTCATATGTGAGTTTTTTTCTCTCTTTTGTGTAATCAAATTTTTGAGGTGCTAATCTTAAATGAAATGGCATTGATTTACAGACAAAAATCATGTATATTTTCATGTTGGTGGTTGTCTACCTGCAAACTTAGAGAGCACCAGACTGTTGCTATTGGACCATCCCTATCAACCCATTTCTTAAAAGAGCTGGGTGGTTCCTGTATTTAGCCTACAGGGAATGAAAGAATTTAGGAGTCAATTGAAGTGAATTGCCTAACACTTCACAGCCAGAAAAATGGTATTAAAAAATCTGACAATAGATATATCCAACGATATTGATACCTTTCCTTCTCATAGTATGGATATATTTAATTGATCATGATTATAATATTGACAGTAATGATTACAATGCACAGGTATGATGAATTGGTAATGGCAATGCATTTGAAGTGCAATTAAAACTAACTTATTATGCTCTAAACACAAAAATAAATCACCAATTTCACTTGTGTTACTTTGTAATTTTACTATACAGTCGTCCTGGGGAGAAGATAGTACAGATAGACTTGATGGGAGTGAGAAAGAGATGCAGAAGATGTGGCATTGGAAGATATTTATTACGGGTAAGCTCCTTCGATTCCACCGCCATTAAAAATTCATTTGTATTAACGACTATAGTAGTGGTGGTGGTGATGGTGGAGGTGATGGTGGTAGATGTCAGTCATGGTGGCAATATGCAGTAACAGTATGGATTACTTGTGGCAATACTTGTAGTTAATAATAATTATAATGATAATACTTTGTTCTTGTGTAGTGCATTTCATGACCGTTGACATTTCAATGTACTTTACAATATGAATATATATAACATATCATAAAATGAAGATGAGTAAACAGTATTGCTGCATGCTTAAAATATACAAAAAGAGTAGTTCCTTAATTTGTTCATAAGATATTATTGAGAAATCAAGTTAACTTTTATCAACTCATCAGTGCTTAACACGATTCAGAAAGCTAAAATTCAAACAATGTGATTGGAAAGCACTATTTGACCCTTGTTGGACACATCAGAAAGGATGGACATGAAAGATGTGGCCATTGATGGATGGATTGATTGTACGAGAGCAAGGAGATGTCATAGATTGAAGTACCTGAAGGGCTTGGGTTGGCAACTGGGAGTAACATTGTGGAAATCATATGGGGGGGGGGGGCTAGAGATCAGACTGATTTAAGGGAGAGCATATAATACCACTTGAGTCTTGTTTCTTTTCCATTCCGTTCCTTCAGCAAATGAAAGATGTGAGCATTGTTGGACATTACGATTCCTTGGTGGTTTATGCAGATCATTCCGCGGTGGATTTCTTCGCTCTTCATGGCTTCAATGATGACATTGTCCTCAACAGTAAATACTCTGACTTGGCTGATAACTGGACAAACTGCACACTCATGTGCTACATACCTCCATTCGTTGGTAGGTTACTTCAGGATCATTGTTTATAGCTGTGTTAAAGATACTAACATATTTAAAATTCATCTCTTATCATTGTCATCTTGATTACTAATTACTCAGTATCATTTGAGCTTGTGAGGGAGACGGCAACTTAATCACTGTGACCTTCAGGGGGGTGTTTCACAAAACTTGTCATCAGTGACAAATTACAGTTTTTGTTATAAGCTACTGAAATCCTTGCTTCTGATTGGTTATCAGCAGATTTGTCACTGATTTTTGTCATTTGTCACTGAAAAAAGGCTTTGTGAAACACCCCCAGGTCTCTCTTCCTGATATTACAAATTGGAAGATGTGCAACGACACCTAGTCCCCCCCCCTCTTGTACAAAGAATGGAGTGGGTTCTCAAAGTGCACCCAAATAAGGTGTGACTTGCCTATACATATGAAATCTCCATTTAATGAACTGTTTGAGGGACGAGGACTGTGCAATCAATTTTGGAAGTATGAAGCAAAATGTTTCAATGTATTTTAATTTGTCTTTTAATTGCAGATCTTAAATAGTCCTGTCAATTTTTACATTAAAAAAAAGTAACCTGGACTTATTTTCTATTTCCTTTACTTTTGCACAAATGCAATCAATATTGATAAAATAGTTTGGAAAATTTGAAATTACACTACATTTTTTCTTGTCTCATTTGGGATCCATAAGAATTTGAACGTTCTTTCTTTATTATTTTCACTAAAGCAAACTCTTCAAACTTTGTCTTTATCATACTAGGACAAACAATCTTGAAGGAGACAGACATGAGCCTGGACCTGAAAGAGATCGAGATGGAGCTCCAGAAGTGGACAGAGAGGAGCAGAGATGCGTACCAAGGTCAGGTTGCTTGCATCATGAAGTTAAGACATGAAGTCATTGCCCTTCGTGTTCTGGTAGGTAGATTATTGATACAGTCAAACCTGTCTATAGCGACCGCCCAAGGGAAACACAAAAGTTGCCTTTGTAGACAAGTGGTCTTTGTAGACAGGTTCCGTTAGTACATGATTCAATGAGAAACCATTTCCAAGGGAAACAACAAATGTGGTCTTTGTAGACAGGTGGTCACTAAAGCAGGTTTGACTGTAATAATATTGTTATAATCTTGTAGAGTGCACGTCACATTAAGACTTTTTAAATGGGTTCTAGAGTGTAGATTATCTCAATGGTTAAATGACACCACCTGGTCATGCATCATTCTTTCCTACCATGCCTACAATATGCAAAAGAATCTCCTGTGAAAACGTGATAACCCGCGGCTGAAGTGATAATGCACGCGTAAAGTGCGTGTATGCATATCTCTGGTGCGTACAAAATCAAGATGCAATAAAATGCATTAAGTTGCAAATGGCAAGGACATTGATGCACACATTGAGACGTGCCTCACAGTGTTTGGCTGTTTGTTATTCAAAGCAAATGGCACCCCCATGATGGCAATGTACCGTAAATCTCCGTGTATAAGGCGCACTTTTTTGCCCCCGAAAAAATTTGAAAGTCGGGGGTGCGCCTTATACACAGGTAGAGATTTTTTTTTTTTTTTTTTTTTTTTTTTTTTTTTTTTTTTTTTTTTTTAGTTTCGATTTGTGGCGCTATGCCTGGCAATGTCACCCAGCTCAGTAATCAGTGTGTTGACTCACCACTCGGAAACTACAACAACACTCAAATTTGTCTGTCATCATGGTTTGAAAGTAATCTTTCTAATAGATCTCAATATGTAGTTTATAATAATAATTCCTCAAATATTTTTTTCTATAACAAATGGTGTACCACAAGGTGCACCACTGGTACCATATGTACTCTTTTGTTTTTAATTTACATTAATGATCTTACATATTCTTCTAAAAACGACATTGTTACTATTATTTGTGACAAGTTCACAAGCACAAATCAGCTCCTTCAACTGCACCTCGATGTAAAATGAAGGTCCTTCCCCGCGTGGGTTTTCGGCAACAAAACAACAACAACAACAAAAAACGATTTTTTTTTTTTTTTTTTTTTTTTTTTTTTTTTTTTTTTTTCCTTCCCCAAAATAGGGGTGCGCCTTATACACAGGTGCGCCTTATACACGGAGATTTACGGTATGGCATTTTGTTCAGGTTGTTGCTTATATCTAAACTTTATATTTGTGTGTTAGACCGTTTTATAAAACAAATAATTCATGTTTTAAAGCTTGTGCATTAGTTATATTGCTTGCATTCGGTTAGGTAGCAGTGAGCTGGAAAACGAACTCAACAAATCTCATCCATTATCTAATTGTATCCCCCGGCAGTATGCCGGTGGGGTACTTTGGATTCAGCAGCGTTACGCCGCCGCATCCGCAGCGTCATATTCTTGTGTGCGCTCTAACTGCCACATTCCTTGACGGATTTCTTTCAAAGTTTGTATGGAGGTGTATCGTGGTATAATCTCATCACCTATAACTTTTGGTGATGCTGCCCCCAGTTTTCCGTCTTCTATAGGGTAAAAGGCCATATTTTTGTGGATGGTTTGTGTCCGCTCTATAGGCCACATTTTTGTAGGGATTCCGTTCAAATTTTAAACGAAAGTGTATCTTGGTATAATCTACAAGCCTATAGATTTGGCAATGCTGCCTCTATTGTTCCATCTTTTATACGGTTAGAGGTCATATATTTTGATAGATGTCTTTGTGGCACTCTAGTTTGCGCTCTAACTGCATCATTCCTTAACGATTTTCTTTCACATTTTGTATGGAGGTGTTTCTTGATATAATCTAGACACCTACAAATTTTGGTGATGCTGCCCTCAGTGTTTCGTCTTCTATAGGGTCAAAAGGTCATATTCTGGTGAGTGTCTAGTGTGCGCTCTGCAGGTCATATTTCATGACAGTTTTTTTTCAAATTTTGCGTAGAGAATAAGAAATGTATCTTCGTACAATCTCTCGTCTAGGGAGGGATGAAGCAGAAGAGGATGTTCTCTCTTCTAGGGAGGGGTGATGCAGAACAGGGTGTTCTCTCTTCAAGGGAGGGATGAAGCAGAACAGGGTGTTCTCTCTTCTAGGGAGGGGTGTAGCAGAACAGAGTGTTCTCTCTTCAAGGGAGGGGTGAAGCAGAACAGGGTGTTCTCTCTTCAAGGGAGGGGTGTAGCAGAACAGGGTGTTCTCTCTTTAAGGGAGGGGTGAAGCAGAACGGGGTGTTCTCTCTTCAAGGGAGGGGTGAAGCAGAACAGGGTGTTCTCTCTTCAAGGGAGGGCTGAAGCAGAACAGGGTGTTCTCTCTTCAAGGGAGGGGTGAAGCAGAACAGGGTGTTCTCTCTTCAAGGGAGGGGTGAAGCAGAACAGGGTGTTTCTCTTCTAGGGAGGGGTGAAGCAGAACAGGATGTTCTCTCTTCAAGGAAAGGGTGAAGTAGAACAGGGTGTTCTCTCTTCAAGGGAGGGGTGAAGCAGAACAGGGTGTTTTCTCTTCTAGGGAGGGGTGAAGCAGAACAGGGTGTTCTGTCTTCTAGGGAGGGGTGAAGCAGAACAGGGTGTTCTCTCTTTAAGGGAGGGGTGAAGCAGAACAGGATGTTCTCTCTTCTAGGGAGGGGTGATGCAGAACAGGATATTCTCTCTTCAAGGGAGGGATAAAGCAGAACAGGGTGTTCTTTCTTCAAGGGAGGGGTGAAGCAGAACAGGGTGTTTTCTCTTCAAGGGAAGGATTAAGCAGAACAGGATGTTCTCTCTTCAAGGGAGGGGTGAAGCAGAACAGGGTGTTTTCTCTTCAAGGGAGGGGTGAAGCAGAACAGGATGTTCTCTCTTCTAGGGAGGGGTGAAGCAGAACAGGGTGTTTTCTTTTCAAGGGAGGGGTGAAGCGGAACAGGTTGCTTTCTCTTCAAGGGAGGGGTGGAGCAGAACAGGATGTTCTCTCTTCAAGGGAGGGGTGAAACAGAACAGGGTGTTCTCTCTTCAAGGGAAGAGTGAAGCAGAACAGGGTGTTCTCTCTTCAAGAATGGGTAAAGTAGAACATGGTGTTCTCTATTATAGGAAGGGGTGAAGCAGAACAGGGTGTTCTCTCTTCAAGGGAGGGGTGAAGCAGAACAGGGTGTTTCTCTTCTAGGGAGGGGTGAAGCAGAACAGGATGTTCTCTCTTCAAGGAAAGGGTGAAGTAGAACAGGGTGTTCTCTCTTCAAGGGAGGGGTGAAGCAGAACAGGGTGTTTTCTCTTCTAGGGAGGGGTGAAGCAGAACAGGGTGTTCTGTCTTCTAGGGAGGGGTGAAGCAGAACACGATGTTCTCTCTTCTAGGGAGGGGTGAAGCAGAACAGGGTGTTCTCTCTTCAAGGGAGGGCTGAAGCAGAACAGGGTGTTCTCTCTTCAAGGGAGGGCTGAAGCAGAACAGGGTGTTCTCTCTTCAAGGGAGGGGTGAAGCAGAACAGGGTGTTCTCTCTTCAAGGGAGGGGTGAAGCAGAACAGGGTGTTTCTCTTCTAGGGAGGGGTGAAGCAGAACAGGATGTTCTCTCTTCAAGGAAAGGGTGAAGTAGAACAGGGTGTTCTCTCTTCAAGGGAGGGGTGAAGCAGAACAGGGTGTTTTCTCTTCTAGGGAGGGGTGAAGCAGAACAGGGTGTTCTGTCTTCTAGGGAGGGGTGAAGCAGAACAGGGTGTTCTCTCTTTAAGGGAGGGGTGAAGCAGAACAGAGTATTCTGTCTTCTAGGGAGGGGTGATGCAGAACAGGATATTCTCTCTTTAAGGGAGGGATAAAGCAGAACAGGGTGTTCTTTCTTCAAGGGAGGGGTGAAGCAGAACAGGGTGTTTTCTCTTCAAGGGAAGGATTAAGCAGAACAGGATGTTCTCTCTTCAAGGGAGGGGTGAAGCAGAACAGGGTGTTTTCTCTTCAAGGGAGGGGTGAAGCAGAACAGGATGTTCTCTCTTCTAGGGAGGGGTGAAGCAGAACAGGGTGTTTTCTTTTCAAGGGAGGGGTGAAGCGGAACAGGTTGCTTTCTCTTCAAGGGAGGGGTGGAGCAGAACAGGATGTTCTCTCTTCAAGGGAGGGGTGAAACAGAACAGGGTGTTCTCTCTTCAAGGGAAGAGTGAAGCAGAACAGGGTGTTCTCTCTTCAAGAATGGGTAAAGTAGAACATGGTGTTCTCTATTATAGGAAGGGGTGAAGCAGAACAGGGTGTTCTCTCTTCAAGGGAGGGGTGAAGCAGAACAGGGTGTTTCTCTTCTAGGGAGGGGTGAAGCAGAACAGGATGTTCTCTCTTCAAGGAAAGTGTGAAGTAGAACAGGGTGTTCTCTCTTCAAGGGAGGGGTGAAGCAGAACAGGGTGTTTTCTCTTCTAGGGAGGGGTGAAGCAGAACAGGGTGTTCTGTCTTCTAGGGAGGGGTGAAGCAGAACACGATGTTCTCTCTTCTAGGGAGGGGTGAAGCAGAACAGGGTGTTTTCTCTTCTAGGGAGGGGTGAAGCAGAACAGGATGTTCTCTCTTCTAGGGAGGGGTGAAGCAGAACAGGGTGTTCTCTCTTCAAGGGAGGGGTGAAGCAGAACAGGATGTTCTGTCTTGTAGGGAGGGGTGAAGCAGAACAGGGTGTTTATTCTTCTAGGGAGGGGTGAAGCAGAACAGGATGTTCTGTCTTGTAGGGAGGGGTGAAGCAGAAGAGGGTGTTTTCTCTTCTCGGGAGGGGTAAGGCAGAACAGGGTGTTTCTCTTCTAGGGAGGGGTGAAGCAGAACAGGATGTTCTGTCTTGTAGGGAAGGGTGAAGCAGAACAGGGTGTTTTCTCTTCTAGGGAGGGGTGAAGCAGAACAGAGTATTCTGTCTTCTAGGGAGGGGTGAAACAGAACAGGGTGTTCTCTCTTTAAGGGAGGGGTGAAGCAGAACAGGATGTTCTCTCTTCTAGGGAGGGGTGATGCAGAACAGGATATTCTCTCTTCAAGGGAGGGATAAAGCAGAACAGGGTGTTCTTTCTTCAAGGGAGGGGTGAAGCAGAACAGGGTGTTTTCTCTTCAAGGGAAGG